GTTTCTTCTCCCATTCGGCTCGAATACTGCTATATACAGGGGTGGCCAAAAAAAGAGACACTTTGCCCATGGCGCACATCATCGAACTTTTCGTCGCACAGGGAGCCGATGTTAATGAAAGTTTTACGGCGGAATATTCCTTAGGTGTTCCCCGTAACAGAAGCAGGCCCTCCTTCACTGCCCCCGCCGTCTTCAGAATATGACGTCATCTGCCGTCACCGTCGAGCTCAACGAGGCTTACCGTAATCGCTCCGGCCTGAAGCTGCTACATAATTTCTTCAATGGATTAACTGTGAATAGCTTCCAGAGACACTAGCTGTGACTGTGCAAAACCGCTTTTGACCAGCGTTTCAGGACGTCGTAATCGTCTATGGTACCTCGACGACCTCGTTGAGCTCGTACCGTGAACCATGTTTCCGTGGGAAAATCTTCTGATGTCGTCGGTGTAGAAGGCTGTTGTGTAGCTTGTTGATAGATTATAACGTGCTCTTCAATATTCAGTTGGGTCATTTGGTTTGGTTTCGCAACGCGTAAATAATTCCGTTTTGAATGTGGAGTGAAGTGTCTCTTTTTTTTGGCCACCCCTGTATATGAGCTTTTCAAGGTAAGGCTAAAAGTTTGGAGGGACCCCTCCTAGGGTTAAAAGTGAAACCCGCAGCGATAACAGAAGGCCCACATACCCAAACATGGGGCCGAAAACAAGCAGATTAATGAAACCGAAGGTGCTGTTTTTATTCGATTCAGGAGCACAGAAGACAGTGATACAAGAGGCTCTGGCCACAACTCTAGGACTTCCGAAGCAAACAACAGAAATATGCACAATGTCCGGCATTGGGCATATTGAAAAATCCGGAAGCCACACTGTACGGGTCAAAATTGGCACGGCTTTCCGTGAAGAAATGGAACTTAATTTTCAAACTCAGCCAGTCTTAACCAAGCGTCAGGTGGCACCATCTGGTATAACATTTTTGAAGGCAAACCAAATATGCCTCGCCAACTCAAAAATTCGCTGTAAACATAAATTCCGCACGTCCTCATCGGACTAGACTATTTTCATGAACTAGTAACAAGTCAAATCATGGAGTGAGAACTCCTACAGGGCTACACATATCAAACACTATCCTTGACCCCACCATGCACGGAAAGGGAATTATTCCTACAGACACCACAGAAAGTCCCTTATGTTACGGGCTAACGGCAGCATCGAACCAAGTGAAAAACAACTTCTTCAATTCTTCGAAAAATGTTTGAGTTGAAAGGACTCGGAATTTCAAGCGAAGAATATCAGCCAGACGAAAAAGTCTACACATATCTAGAACAGAAACGAACGAGCGAAGAAAATATCCCTTCGCTAAACGAAAATATTACGTTGGCCAGATTGAAATGTCGCTCCTATTTGCATCGTAGTTTCTGAGCTATAGCACAACCTCTCACAAGGCGGGTGCACTCATTCGAGAGACTGTGTCCAACTGCACTTTACGATGTTGTCAAGCCACAATTTTGTTTGAAGACGTTTGGTCAGAAACATCGTGTGGACATGTGCATGTGACATAACCCAAAACAATGGAAATTGGGTAAGGAGTTTTATCGTGTTCTGTGCGAAATACTCGACAGCGAGGCGCACTACTGCGTTTTCTAAAGGAGGCAGAAAGCACAAAGGCAAAATTCATCAGAATTTTCTTGCAATTCTGGCTAATGAAGAACTTAGAAATGGCACTTAACAAAAGTATTCACGATGTGAAATCCTAAGGGGTTTGGCTACACTGCAGCTACAAACGATAGTCATTTACGAGTGATTGGTAGAGTAAATCGGTGCAAAAACCAAATTTTGCAGCTGCAAAACGACACTTGCCAAGCGGAGTGTGTTGCGAAAATAGCGCAGCAGAAAATCGAGGAGTTAAGCTGGGACGTTCTGCCTTCCGCGCCATTTAGCCCAGATCTGGCACCGTCCATTCACCATTTATTCAGGTCAGCGTAGCTTTCCTTAGTAGGGAAGGAGACTGAGTAACCGCGATGACGTCAATTTTGGGTTCCCAACTTTTTCGAGTCGCAGCCGGGAGAGTTCTTCGAGGAGGACATCCATATTTCGAGTGGTAAATGTAGAAAAGTCATAAATATAGATGGGGAATATATTTAAGACTCAAGAGCTTTGCTTTTGTTTTTATAATAAAAACAAATGTTAGTCAAAAACGACATTTCAAACTGGCCAACCTAATACTACTGAATTGTAAGACAGCTACTTCATAGCGTTCCGAAGACTGGGGTCACTCCAAAACTCTCTTTTGCGACACCCTCAACAACGTTTATGACATTGCAAAACTCTTCAAAAAATATCGTCAGGAAGGAATGAATAGAAACTTTCTCCTGCGAAAAAAAGACCTACTATGTATAGGCCTCTTAGCCGGCATATGGAAACCAACTAAGAAGGCAGTATTCCACACTTCTTCTGAGAGAAAAAGGAAACTCTCCTAATGAAGTATTCCACAAATGAGATGCATTAGTAAACAAAATGTGGGAGGCGGTTCAGTGGGTTGTATGTCGGAGAGCGATCAGCTCACCAATCTATTCGCTAGTGGTAGATCGAGTGGGACAGCAATCGCTCGCGCGTTCTTCGAAGGCACAGGGCGGGGCGCGGGGAGTGTCGGGGTCATCCGGACCATGGACGATGACACTTGGTATGCTGTAGGTTTTATTTCCATGTCTGGTAAATAAATGTTTGTTCGTTAGTAGTAAGAAGAAAGACGCTCCTGTTTCAGAACAGCTTAAATACCCGTCTTCTAAATCTATTACACATTAGCGGAAAAGAGGAGTGTTTTCTTCTCACAATGTGTTTGCCCACAAGAAAAAATTTATTCCGGATTCATGAAAAGAGGCATAAATTCGTTTTAATTGTTTCGAAAGGTGATCCTAAAGAGAGCTGTTAGGTTATCACGACAGATGGCCAGGGACGTGGGCGAGGGAGGTTCGAGCGCCTGAAGAATGAATATACGAATCATACACGAACCAGGTGATACGCGTAGGTCCATGAGATGCTTACCTCAGACTTTCTTCTACGCTGCAAAACGGGACATCCTGCGGCCGTAGGTGTGTATAGTGACGGTTCGCAGGAAGCCCAGACTTTCTCCATGCTTTCCGAACCAGGTGATACGCGTAGGTCCATGAGATGCTTACCTCAGACTTTCTTCTACGCTGCAAAACGGGACATCCTGCGGCCGTAGGTGTGTATAGTGAACGGTTCGCAGGAAGCCCAGACTTTCTCCATGCTTTCTTCCATGGCAGTTTTAAAGCGCGCTATCTCCCTGTCCACGCGTTCTCGTCTCTTCCTGCACTTCTCTCGAAGCCGCTTTCCATCAGCGATCGCTGCAGCATTCACTTTTCTTTTCACTAGCATCAGTCTGCAGTGAAGCCAAACAAACCCTTTCGACTTTTAAAATAC